AGGCCAAAGTTGGGAACTTCATGAGGCAAGATATGTGTGTGTGTGTTCTGAGGTTTCTTGACTTCAACTTCATCATAAAGCAGCATTTATATTAAAGGCAGAGACAGAGTGGAGAAGGAAGGAAGGAAAGATAGATGGAAGGCAACCAGGCAATTATGCAGTGGCCTTTCACAGCTATGACTCAGGTTCAGAGTCAAGTGGGTTCTTAAGTTTTTACTTTAAAACTAATTTTTTCGGGAAAAAAAAAGCAAAACTAACTTTTTCTAATCACAACGATAATGTGTTAAGTTTTGAAACTTGACAAAACATAGAGAAGCACTCAGGACACAAAACCACATGCACATCTAGGCTCCCATACTAAGTTTTACAACCTAACGTCACTTGGCTTTTTAACGGGTAATAAACCATATATATCTTTACTGCCATTTCATGTTCTACTAAGACATCATTTTATGCCTCAAGAGTATCCTTTTTTTATAGGTGCTTCAAATCTGTTAAAATTTTTGGACATTTAGATTGTTGCCAATCTTTCACTATATGTAAATATCACATTGAATATCCTTGCAGCTCAACTTTTGCATGCATCATTGATTATATTCTTAAAATATATTGTGGGTAGAATGGCTACATCAAAAAGTCCACTCAGATTTTAGGGTTTTGATATCTGCAGATAAATTGCTGCCACAAATGTTATGCCCGTTGTGCTCATCTGCCACCTTTCCAGCTGTGGGAGTGGGTGAAAGCGCCAGCTCACTGCATTCTCAAGATAATAGGAGGCAGAGCCAGCCAAGCATGAAGCTGAGACTCAGCCAGCTCTCCACCTGCTAGTTCTGAGGCCTTAGGCGAGTTACATTAACCACTTTGATTCTCTATTTTCTCATCTGGATGGCCATGAAGCTCACCTGAGGTGCATCCAGAATGCTAGACAAAGAGCCTGACCCATAGTAAGTGCTTAGTAAACAAAAGCTCCTCTAGATTTACAATCTTTCCTGCCCACCTTTGATGGATTATTTCTGGGAATTGACACACAGAGCAAAGGCTTCTGAAATCTCCCTTAATTTTTATTTTATTTATTTGGCTGCACTGGGTCTTAGTTGACACACAGATCTTTGATCTTTGTTGCAGCAGGCAAGATCTTTAGTTGTGGCATGTGGGATCTAGTTCCCTGACCAGGGATGGAACCCTGGACCCCTGCACTGGGAACGCGGGTCTTAGCCACGGGACCACCAGGGAAGTCCCGGAAAGCTCTCTTTTATAGCCAGTATCTACTCCATCCTCCACATCAGCCCTGAAGCACCGTTGCTGCCCAGGCTCCTTGGCTCTGGCCTTTCCTCCCCTCCCTTCTGTGATGGCTGAGGGCAGAGAGACTCCTCAGGCCCCCTGCGTTACCATTTGGCTTTTTCCTGGTTGATCCTGTAGAGTGTTGCAAGCCAGGAGAGAAACCCGTGAATGTGAGCCTGTGCTGTGTTTCTAAACCAAAATAATAATTAATAATATTGACCACAGCAGCAGCTCTCACTTCTTGAGTGCCTATAAGGTCCTGGGCGCCATGCTAAACCTTTTACACGGATTGTCCCCTTCCATCCATGGGAGTGGGCGTGCTCGGTGTCATTGGCTCTTATGGGGGAGCCTCTTTGAGGGGTTGACATTGAAGTTGGTGTGTCCAGAAGCCAGCCTGGAACAGGGTGTCAGGGCCACCATGCAAGGATAGAGTGTAGGGAGGATCCTCTGGGGTAGAAGCAAACTCATTGATGCCTAGAGGTGCTTTCTAGAAGGTTCTGGGGTTCTCAGAAGCATCTATGGGTGGGCATTTGATGTCTCTGGGTTTGCTTAACAGGTGGGAGAGTAGCTTGACATTTTCATCCTAAAGGGATAGGGAGGAAATGGGGACTTGTGCTCTCTGAACAGGACCTGGTCTTAGAACCAGGGGCTTCATGAATATTAGAGGCATGGATGGAACTTGGAGGCAGGGGCTACATGCTCAGATTAGGAGTCCAAGGGTTGGAAGCCTTTTGTATTCCTACTGAAAGAAAGATCCAGCCTGGGGGGGAGGGGAGGAGCAAAATACAGGAAGGGGATTAAGAAGTACAACCTACTATGGACAGAAGTTACAAGGATGTAATGTATAGCTCAGGGACTATAGTTAATATTTTAGAATAACTATAGATGGAGTATAATCTCTACAAATATTGAGTTACTCTGTTGTATACCTGAAACTAAAATAATATTGTAAGCCACTTATATTTTTATTTAAAAAAAGGCTAAAGCTGCATCCACTTTAAGACATAGTAAGATATGGGGTGGTTAATATGGGGTCATAAACACTGCCTAGTATGGACTGACATCTGAAGGAAAAAAATAGAATATGAAAAACCTAGCCTTCCCTAAATGTCTCCAGAGTGTTCTTTGCTTGCTCTCCATTCATTAGTGTAGGCTGGAGCTTGAGAAGGCTGTGGAGTCTTGCCTGGGGCTCTAAGAGAGGGAACTCGGGTAAGGAAGTATCACCAGGGCCACTTCTTTGCACCAGCCACCATGAGCCAGTCCAGTGGTTCCCCGACTAGATGGGTGTGGTGACTGGAGCAGTTTGTCCAAGAAGCCTGAGAAAGCGGCCACCAAAATCCAGGGTGTCCACTCCATGGGACACCACACCCAAGCCTGCCCTGGAAAGGTGGCTTTTCTGGGCCTCCCAAGGCCTACAATTGGGTTACTGTGAATTCAGGATTGGGACTCTCTATGTCTTCCCACATACTCCCATCCAAACTGTGCTCTGGTGCACTCAGTGGCCAAGTGGGACCTTGGAGAGGCACATCCACCCACTCCCCTTAATCTTTCAGTCAGACGATTCTGGAAGGGAAGCAGTTAAAGAAAATATTCAAACCGTGCTGGGACCCTGCCTTCCACATTTCAAGCCTTCCAAACCTTGGTCCTATGTATGAGATCTGGAAGGCCAGTTCAGATGGAAACTGCCCAGTTGTCAGAGGCTAAACATTGTTTCTCATTTGTGCTTAGGACATGCAGTACCCTCATTCAATATGAAGCAGGAACAGTGATTAGCCTAAGTCAGCTTAATCACTCTATTTGTGCTACACAGCAGGCCCTGAATCGCTACTACCCCACAGATAACTGCCTCGAATTGCTACTACCCGGCAGATATCAGTTTTCCAAAGTAGCAGTCATCCTCAAGAACAAATCTTGCTAATTGTTTCACTGCCCTTGGCCTCATTAAAAGAAGCCAACCTTTGCCTATCCCTCATGAACAATGTGAAAAGTTGAGCAGAATATCTGTGCTATGTAGGTGAGGGCTTGTTTTGCCCTTACCATCTATATTACGTGAAAAGCTGTGCTGGTGGGTGAGACACTCCAGCATCACTGGGCAGACCTATCAGAAAAGATCCAGGCAAACTGAACATTCAGGAGTGCTGGGTGAGGTGCACGAGGAAGGGCAGGGGGCCAGACAGCCTCTCCAGCCCTCTAGCCCTTCAGTCTCCCTTTGTCTCCACACCCACGCCCCCTTCATTATCTTGGATAGATGAGAACCTCCAGGCTTTAAGCACCATCTGCCAGGGCTCTCTCCCGCCTCCCCTCTTGCCTGAGTGGGTGTTGAGAATGGGGAAAACATCCGTCCATGTCAAGCTGCCCAAGACTCTTGAGAACTCCAATTCAGCTGCTATTAGAGGCACAATTTGAATAGTGTCTCTGAGACCAAAGGAGACTCCATCCCCATTAGCTAGTCCACAAGAATTTTACAAGAAGAACCTGAGTCACCGCTTCACCTTGAACATTTTGCTTTTATAGGAAGAAGTCCAAGAAACTGGGCTTCCCTGGTGGCTTATATGGTAAAGAATCAGGCTGCAATATGGGAAACCTGGGTTTGATTCCTGGGTTGGGAAGATCCCCTGGAGGAGGGCATGGCAAACCACTCTAGTATTCTTGCCTGAATCCCCATGGATAGAGGAGCCTGGTGGGCTTGTAGTCCACAGGGTTGCAAAGAGTCAGACACGACTGAGCACACGAAGCAACCATTTTCCTACCCATTACTGACCCCCTCTAGCTCCGATCTCTACTTGGCTAAATCTGCTTTGCTAACTTGGTCCAGTCTCTTAACATCCCCATGGCCCAGACTGTTCTTGAAAATGAAATTTCAACCCCAGACTTGTATGATACCGGCAACTGGTGTTTGGAATACACTGAAGAGGAAAGGCTTCACAAAACTTTATGAAGGGTTCTTCTCTTCAGTGTATTCAAAACACCAGCTATAAAATAAAAGTCAAACAATGGCAACAAACAACACAAATCACCTTTAATCAGGTAATTCTACTTCTAGAAGTTTCCTTGAGGGGTTAGTCAGACAAGTGTATAGAGATGTATATATGAAGATGCTTATTCCAATGCTGTTAATTGAAAAAATGGAATAACTGAGCTGCCCAAGTATTGTGTTTGTTAGTCATGTTACTGCCTTCTGATGGCATACCATGCAGTGATTTGAAAAGCTGGTGTTGGTTCTATTCATTGCTATAGCAGGATGTTTGTGATATTTTAATAACATGAGAGCAACTGGAAAAACAATGTGTACATATATAGAAACATCATAGAAAGAAGTACACCTAAAGATAGCCACTGATAGTCTCTGGATATTATGCTTAGAGTGATTTTTTTAACCTTCTCTACATTTTTCACGTTAAAAATACATTATATTAACCATACATAGTAGGTGTGTACATGTTCAGTCGCTCAGTTCTGTCTGACTCTTTGCAACCCTTTGGACTGTAAGTCCATGGGATTTTTCAGGCAAGAATACTGGAGTGGGTTGCCATTTCCTCCTTCAGGGGAACTTCCCGACTCAGAGATCTTATTGAACTGGCATCTCCTGAGTCTCCTGCATTGGCAGATGGATTCTTTACAACTGAGCCATCTGGGAAGCCCCTGTGTTAACCATTAAAAAAGCTAATTCCATTTTGAAAACAAGAAACAAACCTGTCTTCTAAATCTTTCCTTCCCAGACAGTGACATGCCTCCAAATCAGTGGCATTTCTCTGCTCCTTGGACAAAGCCACAGCCAGAAGTATCTTTTGCAAATGGCGCCGCTAGCTGCAACTTGAATGGATCTGGTCTCACGCCTATGGATCAGTACCCACTGTCCCTGACCGGGGGCCCCTCCATTCAGCCTGGTGAGCTGTGGCATTTCTCCTCCCTCGCCAGCCCCAGCTTCCCAGAGCCTGGCTACCCTCATGCTTTTTCCACTGGGCACTTGGTTCCGGAGCCCCAGCCTGAGGGGAAGTATGAGCCCCTCCTAAGTCTCCTCCAGCCAGAGAGATGCCTAACCCATCCTCAGGAATCTGCCTCGTGGGAGGATGGCAACTCTGCCCAGATGGCCGGAAGCACAGGATTTCTCTTCAACCTGCCTCCCAGCTCAGCCCACTGTAAGGAAATGCCTCTAAGTATGGTTGGAGGGTTGCTTCTGATTGGTTGTGGTTGAGAGTGAGTTGGCATGAGATGGGATTGAAAGACTAATTGCTGCCTCTCCAGCTATGGGGCTTCTGAGGGACAAAACATCTATCTTCACTAGGCTGTATCTATAGTCACTATTTAATGACTAAAGGGTTGCATAGATAGCCAGCCAGATGCACTTGGTTCAGGATATTCACCCTGGTCTGCTGACTCAGACTTACCCTAGAAAAATGATGGGCTGCTGCCTAAAATCTTAGGGTCTTGCATTCACTTTACTGTGAACTGCCAGATAACCCATGTGTAAAACAGAACTCAGTGATACACCTACAGGCTCAAAACTATCTCCTAAACAGGTTGGCTACTTGCAATAATGCCAGACTCCTGGGTAGAAACAAGGGCCGTCTATACCAACCATCTGCTCCACACATTAAAATTCAAAGCGACAGTGGAGGCCGCCCCCTTGCTGCCTGGAGACCGTTCATGGTGCCTGGCTGTCTGGGGCTTTTGCTCCCTGACCCCTACTCCTCCCCCAGGCGAAAACCTCCTTAACGCTCATTCACTTTTATTCCATTTACTCACTCACCCGACATATTTAATTAGCACCTACTAGTTGCAAAAATACCCATCGAGAAACAAGACTCTCTTCTTTGTAAAAGGATGGGAAAGAATTGGCCTGAAGTGTACTTTGACCAAAAAAACAAGCGACTCTCCTACAAGATTTGCCCTTCACATGAAATATTGGTAATAATAGATGTTTCATAGTTTCTTGGGGCTGAGTCTCCATCTTCTGGCTTTTTGCACCTTGGATGAGTTTTCTTTTACAGCTCTCTGGTCTGTGCCTGAAAGAAATTGCCAGAAGCTGCTTTTACTTCCAAACTAAGTATATTTATGTTACACCGAGGCCTATTCAGCCTAGCTTACCTAAGTCAGATGCTGTGTTCCATCCTAATGTCAAAAAGAAATTTCCCATTAAAATACCATCCCATCATTTGCAGAGTTTGATTAGCAATGTACTTAAAGAGTAAATTAAAAAAAAATGTCAAGCTTGGGAAACATATGAGAATTCCCACCCTTGTACTCTTTTTCAAAAATCTATTCCTGCTGGATTCAGAGGGGAAAATGAGGCCAACTGTGTGTATATGCTTGTGCACACACACAGTGGAACCCTGTCTCGATGGATGGTTAGAACACAACTCAAATCATTGCGTCCCAAACAAAACAAGCCCATGCAGTTCAAATCAAATTTAGCAAAGATTTAGCAAGCATCTAGTATATGCCAGGAACATCATGGTAAAGCCACAATGCAGGCATTATCATAGTCCCGAAAGTTCTAGATGCATTCTCAAATATTCATCACCAAAGTCTCGACTGTTGCCAACTCTTTACACTCTCCAACTAATGCTGATATCCAATGGATGAATCAGTGGCTGACAGTCCAGGATCTGTTGAGGAAGTCGGCAACCCTTGATCAGAAACACTGCCCATAATATGGGAACAAAACTCCAAGGGCATACAAAACAGAAGTGTCTGTTTTTGTAGCATGTCAGATGTCAAAATTGAGGAGCACATGATTTGGGATTCCTTGGGGGGCTACTGTGCACTTTCTAACCCAGTCCCTGATTTCATTCCCAATCATATTTTCTTCTTTCCTAGTTAAGAAAATCTATTTCCCCCCTGATGGTGGACCTGCCAGTGCCAGCTTTGCAGCTGAAAGTGAGTATCTGCTTCTGTCTTTTATATCTTGTCTCCGCATCCTGAGAACAAACTTGTACCAGAAAAACCAGGATCTCCAGCAACTGAAATGACCCTCATTTCTGTTATTTAGTGTTTTTACCCTTAGAATTGGTTACGTTTAAGTCTCAAAGAGCCCATGCACTTAGTATCTTGTAAAATGTTTTGCCCATTTTCTAATTTGGCTGTAAAAGCAATTCTATTAAGTTATTTTATCTGAGCTGGATTTAGCGAGGTAACCAAGGTGATGCAGGAAAATGAACAAATTCATGAAGGTTAGCCTGCTCTTTCCCGGATGTTCACTTTTCAGCCTAGAACACAGGGCCACCCCAGGACTCTGCAGTCAGAAAATGCCACCTGATACCAAAGGCTAGGACTCCGGGCTCCACATTCAATTTGAAAGTGGTGTCAGTAAGAACCGCCCAATGAGGACAATCTCTGGTTTGATGTGAGGACCTTAATGGCTCAGGTTTGAATCCACCTTCATTAGTTACTAGCTTCAGGAACTTTAACCACATTTCTTCACCTCTCCATACCTCAGTAGCTTTATTTATAAATGGAGGATTAAAATAATGTCCACCTCATCAGATGTCTGATGAGGATTAATTTACATATATGTATTGACATGTAAATTCTAATGGAAATGAGCTCTAGTAAGTCAGTGCATGGTAAGGCAGCAAAAAGTGCCTTTAGGCAGGGCATCCGTGTGCCTTCCGCTGTTCTCTGAGAGGCCTCAAGGGAACAGCTGCCACCACAGCCTCGAGTCGCTGGCACTTTACAGTTTGGTGTGAAGTGGGGTGAGCAAAGTATGTAGACCTCCCGAAAATGTCCACTCCTTGAGGGCCAAGACTTTGAGGGGTGTCCTAACCCATCCTGGCACCTGTGGCAGTGCCTGGCATGGAGGTCAGAACATGTGTGTCTAATGAATGAGTGAGCAGAAGCCAGAAACAATAAAAGAACATCAAAAAAGGAAATGGTAAAAATCTATCTGCCAATAGAGTATAAATTAATTTTTTTTGATGCTGTTGTGTGAAACAAGCAAGTCACAAATCACCCTCCATGAGGAATTGGTTGTACCCAAGTGACGGGATAGATTTAGGGCTGATCCAAGAGCCTTAGTACAGTTTCATCAGGCTTCATGGAAGTCTTCCTAAATGGATGAGCTCTGCTCACCTTCTAATGTATGAAATCAGGATTATCAAGTCTCCTAAGTACTCGTTAAGAGCTTATACATTAAAAAAAAAGTTGTAAGCCTTAGAATTACCAAAAGCCTGATGCTTTCAATTGCTCATAGGCCCAAATTAACAGCAACACCATGTATCAGTGGTGGCTATGAGCTCAGTCCCCACAACGACCTTATGATTCATGTATGAGAACATCTTAGGTGCCTTACATGAGGCATGCAGTAAATAGAGGTTGAATGAGTGAAGAAATGAATATACCCATTTTATAGATGAGTAAACTGAGTCTCAAACAGGTGAAAGGATTTGGCTTAAGATCATCCAGCAAGTGGCAGGGGTACAATTATTTCTCTGCTCTCACAGTGTCATAACATCAACATCATAAATTACATTAAACATAAATCATCAAAAACTATTCCAACTTAAATCAAGTGTACAGCAGTGAAGACTTAGCAACTGGTATGATTGCTTCACTGTATATGGGGTCACTGTCCATCTGTGGGCCAGGACAGTATCCTGAGTAAGATGAGGGGGTGCAGAAACTTGGAAAGCATGCAAAGGAGCAGTATTACCCTGAGAAAGGGCCATGTGTAGAATAGGAAGTGTGGAATGGGTACCTAGCTATGCCAGCAGCCCCCTGTTGGCTATTTTGCCACTGTGGCTCTGGGCAGAGGGAGGCAGCAGGACATGGAGAGTGGGAAGGGGATGACTTCCTAGGTGAAAAGAGGACCAGGAACACCCCTCAGAGCCCACATTCTTAAGAGAGCACAGCACCCATTTCCCCATCTTGCCTGATGCTGAAAACCAGAGGGGAGCTTGTGAAATGCCCAGATTCTGTGCCATCACTTCCTGGTTGAGTGGTTTTGGCATGGAACTCAGTAGCGTCTTTGTATGTTTAAGTCTTGATCTATTTTGTATTAATCTGATTTGGGATTTTTGTTTTGTTTTGGCCATGCCAAACAGTTCGCAGGATCTTAGTTCCCCAACCAGGGATTGAACCTGGGCCCTTGCAGTGAAAACGCTGAGTCCTAACCATGGGGCCGCCAGGGAGTTCCCATGTAGTGACCTGATTTTGAAGTGAGCTAGATGAAACTATCAGGAAGGATTTTGGTAGTCTGAAAGATTTCCTCTGTTAGATAAATATTTGTTGAAGGAAGGCAGACCCCCTCCTGCCCCTCCAATATGGTCTAGTCCTCTCGAATGAGTACCACACACCCACATGAGGCAGAGACCATGTGGAGAGAAGAGCAATCTACTGGAAGCATAGTTGGAGGGCCTCCCCAAAACTGGTGCCAAAATATTTAGTGAATTTGATTTTTTTTAATCTGCAGAAGTAGACAGTGATTCATTGTACATTCCTTCAATGTCTACAGAAAATATTACCAGACATGGTGCACTTATATATATATATATATATATATATATACACACACATATATACAATAGTGTATAAACTCTCTTGGTCCCTGCTCTCACAGATTTATTAGTCTAGTGGGGAAGGTAGACTCCACCAAAAAAAAAAGGACAAAATAAAGTGTTTGCAAGTTACGGTAAGTCTGAAGGAAACATACCAAGTGTTGAAACAGAGCAAGACAGAGGTCAGCTTTGGATAAAGGGGGTCAAGGGTGGCTTCTGTGATGAGTGATGTGTGAACAGGGACCCAAATGGGCTGAGGGATGCCGGGAGCTTTAGAAAGAGCTGGGATGAAGGTGGGGAGGCTGCCCTGCCCAGACCAGAAGTGAGTGAGGAATGGGAGAAACATGAGTGTGGGCCGAGTGAGCCCTGGAAAGGTCAACTGGAGCCGGGTGACACAGCACCTTCTGGATCATGGTGGGAGGTTGATTTTCTCCTCTAAGTGACTCAGTGAGACATGGCAGGGTTTGAAGTGTGATCCAGTTTGCATTTAATAAGGCCACAGAGCTACTGTGCAGAGGATGCATTGGAGTAAGAACTAATTAGGAGGCCAGAAGCACAAGATGGTGGCCTGAATCAGATGGCAATCGTGGACGCTGGATGAAGTGAATGTGTTTGAGATCTATTAATATGTGGGGTGTTTAGGTTTTCATTTGCATGAGCAACTCTGGATACTGGTACATGTGTGGAAATGAGGCAGATTGTAGGAGAACACAACTCTGCCTTGGCCACATTCACTCTAGGTGATGATAAGACATGCAAGCAGATGGCTCTCTCCAACAGTTGTATGTAAGTGTGGAGTTCAGAAGTGGGGAAGAGCCTGAGTCAAGTTTTGAGACTGTTCGGTATGAAAACGACACTGCAAGCCACTGAATGATCACTCAGGCAGAGCAAAGGGCAGAGGACAGAGTCCTGGAGTGTGCCAATATTTAGAAGTTGGGAGACATGAGAACCGAGCGGCCGATATAGAGAAGGAGCAGTCCCTGGGTGGGAGAAGAACCAGAGAGTGTGTGTGGTGTTCCAGGAACTCAAAGAGGAGAAAGTTTCCAAACACAGAGAGTGATCACCTATGCCAAAGGCTTCCGAGAGATCAAATGAGAGAAGGCCAGAGAAATTTCTGTTAGATGTGGCATCAGAGATTTTGATAACGTAGTTAAGAGCAGTAATAGCAGTTAATAGCATGTGGATGAAACCTGGATGGGGCGGGTTGAAGAGGGAATGGCAACTGAGAAAGTGGAGATAGTAAATGGCAATAGCTTCTTGGAGAAGCTTAGCATTGAGGGAGGTGAATAAAAGCAAGGTAGTAGCTACAGAGATTAGTGGGGTGGAGAGGGTCTTTTATTTATTTATTTTTTAAAGAAGGCAAATATTAGAGCCTATACAGAAAAGTAATTAGCCTCCCCCCCCCCCAAAAAAAAAACCCTCAGGTGACCAGAAAGAAAAAATAAATAAAAATAAGAGCCTATACAGAGATGAAGAGATGGATGACAATAACTTCATGGCTGGAGACAATTGCAAGGATGTGGGGAAGCATTGGCATTTGCTCGGAGGAGGGGACATTCTACCATTGAAAGCAGACAAAAGATGGGGAATAAGGACACAGATGCCACTAGATTTGCAGGCTTGTTTGTGGGGAGTTGGAAATATACTAATCAAATGATTTTGAGTCAGCTATAAAGGCTGACATCATGAGTTTAAGTGGAAACAGTTGGCTGACTTGTGTGATTTTTTTTTTTTTTTTCACCAGGGCTGTTGGGTTAATGTAACGCACAGAGAAGCCAAACTGGCTTATCCAGCGTTGAGATTTTGACAAGTGAGCATGATGAATGAGGGACCATAACACGGGATCAGGGTATCTAAGCTGCTCAAAGAAGGAAATGGAGGCAGGTGGAAGGTGCCGGGTAGTAGAGGTTGATGGATTGGAGGATGAGATTATGTAAAAATCTGGTGATAAGACTGCTTAAGCCAATGACATCGGGAGATGGTGGTTTGAAATTGAGATGGTAGGGGTGCCACCTGTGTACGTGATGACAAGGTATAGTGTGTGACCATGGCGAATGGCTGACTGAGGTGCCATGAACCAAAAGTCATTAGAAGGTGCAGAGAATGGCAATAACCACATAAATGAGGTAAAATAAGAACCCATAGCTCACTACACCACGGGTGCTGTTTTTATCCTCATTCACAGATGGGAACATGGAGTTTTAGGGAGGTTAAGTAACTTGCCCAGAGTCAAGGTAAGTGCCAGGGTCCGTTTTCTGTCCTTGGTCTTACCCAGTAAGCTAGCTGCAGTGTGACCACACGATAATTCTACTCTACTCCACATAAGGACACTACCTCTTTAACAAATAGTTCTGAGTCTATCTGTGCCAGGCACTGTTCTAAGGGCTTCACACATGTTTAACTCATGTAGGCGATAGGTATCATTAGTATTCCCATTTACCAGATGAGGAAAGGGGAGCTCAGGCTAGGTAACTTGC